GGGGGACTTGGTGTGCTCCCCCCGAGCCATTGTAAGTCTTTGAGTAAGCCCCTTCCCGTGTGCGCGGCGGGCGCCTCGCCTCGCCCCGCCCCGACTCCGCCCCGCCCGCACACCAGCCAGCAGCTAGCTTCACAAATTGCACCTCTTCATTACAAGGGGCTACACGCTCGGACAGTAATGTCACCCCTTGAACGCGCAATATATACATTTCCTCCGCACCTCCTCGGGTGGGATGGGTCAGGGGGTGGGGCGCGCGCTGTGTGAGTGTGTGTGCGCGCGCACGCGCACGCCGTCGCCCTTAAGCGAACACGGAGAATGGGAGACGGGGCGAAGGGTAGGAGGGAGGGCCTGCCCCCGTGGCCTCGGCCCTGCCTTTAGAAATCGCTTTTGGCCCTCTACTGACCGGCACACAGCCTCGCCAATACCGCAGGGGGAGGGGGTGTGGCCTTAGGAGCGAGAGGGCGAGCGTGTGGCAACACGGCAAAGGATATTTCCCAACATCAAACAAGGACACATAGAATAACTTTAAGAAAAAAATAATTTAAAAATCGACACTACTATGGCTTTAACGACTATCCGTAGCAAAAACGATCAACTTTGCCCGCTTTTAGTGTCACGGTAAAAACGTCTACGCGCGGCTTTCTCAAGTGTGGATTTGCTATTTTCTAGTAAACTTCACCACTATGTCAATTTACATGTGTACGTGGTATACTAGGTGGCTGATTCACGCCGCACACTTTCGTAGTTATACTGCACCGCATGCACGCGGGCGGGTTGCCCACTCGGCTGTAAGGAGCCGTGTGTTGCGAGGAAAGGCAAACCCGCCCGCACCCGTGCATGAGGTACAGTAACTACGGAAGTGCGCGGCGTGAATCAGCCACCTGGTACTTTTTGGGTGAGCGTTAGCGAAGCCTTTGCTGTCATGAGGTGCAGGGAACTCTTTGGTTGTGTGTCTGTCTGTCTGTCTGTCTGTCTATCTGAAATCACACACGTTTCTCAAAGATGGCAACTTCAATTGACTTCAAACTGCGCACGAAGCATCAGTATACATCGGGTCGTATCGAGTTTAGTTTAGAAGTTAAATATAAGATGTTTGAAATTAGCGATCGTTTAATTTGAATTCGTAGTTTGGTGGCGGTAGGTTGGTAGCACGGCGCTCGAGGGGAGGGGGAGCGCAAGTGGCTCTTGCGCTCACCTGAAGACTTTGATACCTTCTCAGCAGTTATTAAAATGTCAGATAGTCAAACCGAGTGTTTTACTTTTAGTTTTAGAGTTGCGGAACTTAGCCTGCGAAGTTTCGCGAGTGTCCGATGAGAAGGAACGAAAGTGATATTTGGAATGGTTTACGTGTTTACTTACGTAAGCTGGAGGGGGCGAGTGTAGTGGTTTGGGAGAAATGCGCAAAGGTGACTAATGTTTCGGGTTCATCTTGACAAAAGAAAACGAAAATGTTTTATGCCCAAAAAGATGATCGGAATCAAAATGGCAGAGTTATGTTCAAATGTTCAATAAAGTGTTAAATCGCCTCTGGCGGCCAAACGGTGCGTCGGAGGTGAATTCTGACGGCAGTTTTCGTCCGTAACCCGAAGGGTTACAGGGTCGTACCTCGCCGAGACGCATAAAACGCACCCTTCGAACGTTCAATTTGGAGTTATTCCCCTCCGAATTGACATTTTGGTCGTTTTTGCACACTTTTACCCCTTTGGTTTCTATTAACTTTGCCATTTTGACTCTGATCGGATCTGAGCATAAGACATTTCCTTTTTAATTTTGCAAGAAGAATCCAAATCTGGGAT